AGTTAGAGATGGAGAGAGAGGGAAGGAGAGGGAGACTGAGTCAAATGCTGGTACACTTTGATCTCAAAATAAGCTTAATGAGGATGAAGAATTTAGATATTACATATGTTTAAAAAGAGACAGGGAATGATGTTCAATTTGGGTCCCTCTTACAGAAGAGTGAGAGGAATCGGGAGAAGCAGATGAGGGAGGAGGAGAGTCTGTGCAGAGGCCAGGGTGTCCCAGTGGTGGCACGCTGGCCCTTGGGGAGACAGGCTCTGTGTGGTTTGCTAAGTTTTTCTAAACATGCTTAGGGTTGGAACAGGGAACATGCTGACCAGTTGTTACATGTCTTTTGATAACAAAACCAGGAAGAAAAGACTTTAGTTAGAATGGAACACATTCAGAAAAAGAACCCTCCGGGTCTCACAAGACCATAGCTACAGCAGAATGCCCAGGGAGGCGGTGAGCTCCCTGTGCGGAGTTCAAGTGCACACACGCCTGAAGCGCGGGGTTAGGACTCTATTACTAGGGTTATGGACACTTATTTGATTACACCCAGATGATTCTGAGTGCTCTAAGTTTGTCCCGGGCCGTAACACCTGCTCACCCGGGAGCCTCTTCGTGCCACCCCTCACTCCCTACGTCAGGCCGACTCAGAACCCTCCGATTCCAACAGGATCCTCCGGTGAAGCGCTCCTTTGCATTTGACAGAGGACCCTGCTAGTCCCGATTAGACAGACTATTTAAAATGCTTAAAGGAATCATGCAAAGTTTTGATCTCAGCGTAATTGAGAGAGAAGCTCTCTGGTGATCCTATTTTCCTTCTCACTTCTTCAAATGTCACTACTTAATTGCCTTACTGAACATTCCCAAAGATTTCACTGAAAGCTGTTTTTTTATAAATACCAGAAAGTCAGATTTATAAGATTCTTACAGTGGCAGATAGACGGATTCTAAAAACTGGCCTCTTGTAGATAATTCTTAGGTAAATATTATGACAAGTGCAGAATCAGCAGTGATGCGCGCAGTGAAACAGCAGAGCCTCTGAAATCCACGCCTGTACAGGGGGGCCTCAGCAGAAGCCCCCGTGACAGGGACGCCACGGACGGGGTCGGGGCCGGAGTCCTCGCAGGCCGGTGGTTCCGCATCCCTCCTGGGCCTTGGCCTTCTCATTTGTGAAATACGGAATGGGTGAGAGGCTCCCAAGGCTTTCACACCCTTACCATTCCAAGATCCCGTGAGCTATGGTACTCTCGGTGCGCCTGGGAAACCTTTACTGCGTTGGATCCTCCCTTGTGTACGAACCACCACGGAGAAGGGAAGCTGCTGGAACCCAGAGGCTAATACCAAAGGACTCGATGGAGACAGCAGGCGGGTGTGGGCACTACACTCCCGCCCAGCGGGTGAGCTGCACGTACACTCCCGGTAAACAGCCGGCAGCTCGGCCCAGCTGCTCACCCACGTGTGATTATGTGTGAAGTGTGGCGAATCTAAAATAGCCCGAGGGCAGCCACACAGGTTACTACTGTCAAGGGCTTTCAACTCAACTGTCAGCATGAAAAGAAGGGGAGTGATGGCAGCAACAGAGAAATGAACACACAGAATACAGTCTTCTGAGGCTCACAGGAAAAGGGGAGATTTAACAAACACATCTTTGCAATTCCTCTCTCTACGTCCTTGAATTCAACAGTTCAGTTCTAGGAAGGCAGTAAAATTAGAATGTTGGTAGTTTTGACAAAACAAATACCCTTTCAGTTTTGGGTTCCGGAACCATGCAGAAGTAGCACTGGCCTGTCAATTTTATCTCCTCAATAATTAAAGGGCTACGGGAGCAGGTGCCACCAAGGAATTTAGAACAGAGAAGCATCTCTGTATACTTCTTCTGCTACTAGTTATAAGAACAGCCTTGAACAGTACTTGATATTTTAAGGTATTCATTGCATGATGAAAACATGATAAGGAGTCCTCTGGAGATGAACAGAACTTAGTGAAAATAACTGACATTAGGGGAGAATCAGGAGAAATAACAACTCCCAGTGAGTTCTCACAGCCCCCCCACCCCACCCCCCCAGAAGCCTGTGGCCCTGTGCGTGCTGGGCCCGTGTCGCCAGCAAGGATGCATCGCTGGGTTCTGATAAGACCGTTCCTAAGAGCTCAAAGAGCTCACGTGTCTTATCTTAGAGCCACCCTGCCCCAAATTCCAGCATGGCTTAGATCTTTTGGAATATCCAGCTGGGTGTGGGGGAGCGTGGGACTGGTCTTGGTTCTTCAACTAACTAGTTGTGGGGCCCTGGACAGGTCAGCACTCAGCTGAGTTGCCACACGTTCTTTTCTGAGCACACACAGGTCAGGGGATAGGGGTGACCTGTGCTGAATCCCCACTCTAGGCCAAGCCCTATGCCATGGCTTACAAATAGATTTTGACCACAAGTTGGCAAGGTAGATATCTGGATCTCCACTTCACACGGGAGAACACATTCATAGGCAGACTTTAAAGTGACAGAGCCTAGATTCCTCCCTGGGTCCTCTGATGCCCCTGAGGCTGCCCCTCCCCTCTTAGCCACGCCTCCCCGCCCGTTGGCTCCTGCCTGTTCTGTCTATGAGCAGCTCACATGTTCCCTGGCTGCCCTCTTTCAGATTTTCTGTGAATATTTGACATTTTCCAAAGCAGGGAAGGTGAGTTTTCCTGGGAAGTCCCTCCAGAATCGTCCCTTCACCCAGGCAACCAGGGTTAGTTGTGACATTCACATCAAATGTACATTGTTCTGCCGCCTGATCCTCCTATCGGATGACCCGTCCTGAACAGCCTGGGTGAGGATAAAGCAGAATTTTAATCTTTATAAAGGTTAAAGCACTATCATGTTACAGTCAATCCTTTTCTAATGGATATTTCAATTGCTGCAATCTTGTTGTACTTTAATAATCAGAAACAGAAAAACATCACGTGGAACACGACAGCTGGACTGCAAAATCATTAGTAAAGGAAGTAAAATAAATCAAAATCAAGAGGTTCCCTTCACTTCATCTTTATGTTTTCCTCAAGTCCCTGTTTAGAATTAAAAGTGCCTGCAACACAGGAGCACCTTTGAGCGAACCACTGGTGATCACACACATGAACTGAAACGCACGTGGGGTTCTGCACCGCATCCCTCAGCCCCTGGAGAAATCCAGCCAGGCTGTTTACAGGGAGAAGTCGTCGGTCCTGTGAAGGGATTCTGGCTGAAAGTGAAACGTGTGCACGCACACACACACACACACACACACACTAGTTTTGAGGCGAGTTGAGAATTCACAGCTGGTGTGGGCTTTTCTTTCCATTTTAATGAAAGTGTCTCCCCTTCCCAGGCAATGAGAAAATGCTCTTGGAGTGCTGATTGAAAGACCAGAATCAGAGCAAGAGCTGTTCGCACATTCTGAGGCTTAAGTAAAGCTGCTTTGAAAGCTGCTGTGTGTACCAAACAACTTGGAAATTTCCTAACAGGATTTTTCTAGAGTTCCAGTAAATCTTTCCCCCAATCACTTCTTTGTTCTCCTACTTAGGTCAAAGCCAAAATCAAGTAAGGCAAAGGTCACCCAAGTAGTCAAAAGCGCAAAGAATACACATACCGTTTAAAATTACAATGCTATTTCTTTGCTTAACCAACATCAGTCATATGAAATATCCTATTTACACGCAGAGTGTGTCTCCACTACTTCTTTTTGGTGCATTTAAAGGCTGCTGCTAGTAGAGAAACAGGAGCTCCCATAAGCCCAGTGCTTATCAGGCAGCAAATGAACAGCATTTGGAAAGGGGTGGGGTCAGATGAAGGTGGCACTGTTTCCTGCTGTGATGACAGCCCACCCACTGTCACCCACCAGGCTTTCCCCTGCTGCTCCTTCCTCTTGAGCCCCTCCCCCGCAGCATGCTTCAAACAGTAGAAATGAGGCTGAGGGCAGAACTGGGCCCAGCCAGCTGCCCACAGCACGTCCCTCAGGGAGCCAGCCAGGCGCTTCGACCTGCCTCTCTCAAATCCTTCAGAACCTTTATTAACATGCGTGAGGCCAGTATGGCCCTGGCTCCATGCAAATCACACATCTTGGTCACCTGAACCGTGCCTAGTGCTGACAGCTTGCTTATGGAGGTCTGAAGGTGGAGGGTTCACCTCCAGGGAAGAGCCCAGAGCCGAGCCACTCCCAGGGCCCTGCCAGCGGGAAGAGGCCTGGATTCTCCTTGGATTCGCCTCACCGCTCTGATGCACCCAGGTTTCTTACAATATTTTCCTAATCTGCTCCCAAGCTACAGATGCTCGACATTAGACAGTGGGGAAAGGAAGGATTCCATAAATGGGCTAAAGAACAGCCACACTCGGCATGACAAGACATTCTGCAAGTAGCATGGGCTCCCTGGAGCAATACACACATGACCCAGCAGAGATCGTCTCTCCCACAAAACACAGACCGTTCAGGGACGCACAGCACTGCCTGATGACCTTCTGGTACAAGCTATGGACGACCCATGCAAACTGAACTTCTTAGAATGTAGGCGCAGGCAGGAGGAAAGGTCATACGTGTGTGGCGAGTGGTTAGAAAATAATTAAAAAATAAAGACAGCATCACCAAGCTAACCACCACAACCATACTGCGGACAGGCTGCCACAGCGGAACACCCGACTGTTATCTTGAAAGCCCGGCGTCTCATTTCGGGTGCGGTACTCAGACGTTACGAAAGGTAGAGCGGCTGGGACTGGCGACCAGTCAGACTGCTTGCTGTTGAATTTCCACGCCACTTACTCGTGGTGTTAAGTTGGGAACATGATTTTGAATGCTGGGGCCACTTCCTGCATCTCTGCACTGGGGTCTCCTGAGCTGCACAGCACGGGTAGCGGTAGTGCTTCCTCCACAGGGCCTCTGTGAGGATTCCAGATGCCGTGTGTGAAGAACGCGGCATCAGCCCCGCACACAGACACCACAGAAACGCTAAGAGACAGCCCTTCCTGCTGCCCCTGTCACGGTTCCCCGGGCCGGCTCAGCTCACTCACCAAGATGCGTGTCCATCACCTTGGCACAGTATTTGCACATGGCCTCCAGGTCATTCAACTGTCCTTGAAGGAAGGAAATCTGCGCTTCTAATTCTTCTTCCTAAAACGAAGGGAATCAAGACAGAAAAACTTTCTTATATAGTAAAAGGAAATCCTCACAGGCCTCCCAATGATCTGGGCTGTTCTGAAAAGGCGTAATCTCCTTCCAAACCCAGAGAAAACAAAGAGCAAATGAACAAAACAAGCCCATCACGTCCATCACCGAGCTCTGGGCCATGTGTGGATGCTTACACGTACAACCCTGTATAGTGGACGAACATCAAGTATCTTCAATAAAGACTGAGTAACAAACTTAGGGGGGTAAACTGGATTTCAGTGGCCTCTACCTCCTTAGGCAGCTGGTACAAAAACATGCCATTTGTTTCTCACACACATTTGGGAAACCCAAAATTTCCTTTTACATAAGACAAATCTCATCATTTCCTGGTCAATGACAATCTCTTAGCATGTGAGATCTCCCAAAGCACTTAGACAAGTTTTGCCCAGCAGCCTATAAACGGCTGTTCTTACGTTTCCTCCCTGGTTACGGCACTAGAGCGTTCAGTTATTTGTTTGTCTCTAGGAGACGGTACTCTGGGTGAACAATTAAGTGCTAAAAGACAAGTCATAGAAGTAAAAAGTCTTTATTCTAGAGGAAAACATAATACATGCAAAAACTTTCCCAGGCAAATGCAGATGATTATGGGTATTTTTCTCAGAGCAAGAGAATAATCCTCATCATTTAGGAAATTTTAAATGGAGTTAGCTAGAACAGGCAGACAGGCTGCTGCCAGGGTGGGGCCAGGCGGGACAACTGGTTTTCCAGTCTTCCAAGCTTGTCTGTGCCCATCACAACCCTCTGTGACATTCAAAAGAAGGGAAGAAAAAGAGTGAGAAGTTGACCTGCACAGGGAAATTAGCAGTTGAAAAGGTTACTCGCAGGTGTAGTGTCTGAACAACACGTAGATGCGGCACTGAGAAGCATAGTTTTTAACTGCTGCCTGAAGAAGCAGCTCTTGGGACTACGCGTGGAAATGTTCAACGCAGAAAACAGACACAGCAGACGGCGCCTTGTTGTGCAACGTCCACTGCCGGATCACACACGCGCTGACCATGTTTTCACAAATCCTAAGTGCAGCAGCCTCTCCAAGCCTCGTCTGAGGACAAATGCCACCGGAAGCAGCTCAGCTGAAGGCTGATCACAAGGAATTATGGGTAGGGCAGGTGCTGCCCCCTCCTCACTCTTCAGACCGGAAATCAGGGTGGAAAAGGATGGGGTGTTTCTGGACATTGTTCTGCTCGCCATTCTCCTGTGTTTTTGCATAGGCTTGAATTGGCCTGTGTTATAGGGAGTAAGACACAGAAGATGACATCTGCTGATTAACTATGGTTGTGGTAGTCTACATAGATGGTCACCATCCCTCTCTTCCCTTCCTCAACATCCATGCTGCCCCACTCATTCAGGGGGAGAATGGATCTCCCCTTCAGCTGAATCTGGACTGGCCTTGAATCTGAGAACGCTGCAGAAGTCAAACTGTGCCAATGCAGGGCAAGTTCAAGAGGCCGGCCGACTTCTGCTTTCACTAGAGGACGACAGCTGTCAGGCTGTGGAGAAGTTCAGGCTGGAAACACAGAGAGGAGGGAACACGCAGGGAGGGAGAGGCCCCAGGGGCCTCTGAACAAGTGCTTGAAGTTTTCCTGGGCCTTTCTGTTCAACCCAGCTACAGGCAGCCAAGTGAGTGGCCGGGTCAGCAGTGTGTGGAGCAGAAGTGCAGCTTACCAGAGCCCTGTCCGAATTCCTGACCCTCACACCTATGTGCAACAACAGTGCTGTTGTTCTGGTGGGAGGATGGGAAGAACACTCAGCCAGGACAGGGGACGAGGAAACTGACGCTCTATTCCTGGTACTGCCACTAACAAGTCATGTGACCTTAAGCAATCCTCCACCGCCCTGAGCCTGCCTAAGGCTGGAACCCTGGAGAACACTGAAGTCACAGGCCTTGCTCCCAAGGAGCAAACTGGAACTGGAAGTTGGAGAGAGCAAGTGGCACAACACGCTCCGGGACGCATTAGTGTACAGCGAAGGCTTCTAGTGAGGTAAGAAACAGTGCTGCAGGAATCCAGCTCCCAGCCTCCTGTCCCTCTGCAGCACACGACACAAACCCACCTGACTGAGTCTGCAAGGGCCCCAGGGCTTGACAGTCTTCTAAAACAGGGCCCAGCCCTCTCCTTGCCTGTGGCTACCAGCTGGGGTGCCGCCGGCCCAGGGCAGACAAAGGGCACTAGGAACGCAATGCTCCCTGGTAAAGCCATCTTCCGAGTTTTACCCTATGCATGAGTTTCTCTGGATTAGCAACTGCAGCTTTCGAAATACAAACACCTCTGGGAGCTTTAATGTCTGGCAGTCATTCCTTCCTCAACAGCTTTATGTTGTGCAGTTGGCTTTCTGCGTAAAAGCTGGGAGGGAAGAACTTCAAAGGACACACCATAGGGAAGACAGGCACAGCCTATTGGTGGGGAGGCACTGGACAGCCGGAAGAAAATGCATCGCTCAAAGTGGGCCTCCTGTGCCTCGCTTTTTACCGTCCGGGCAGGAACATTATTGCAATAAAGACAGTGATGGGCCTGGGCCCCTCTGCATCATGTGGTGCACACAACTTGTGCAGGGGGACAGGGCAGCCCAGGGCACCTGCTGGGGAAACGCGCAGGATATAAACCCACAGTTTCCAAGTTTGCTGTTTCGCTCTTGGCTCTGGTGCCAGCAACTGAAGACCTTCTTGCAAGCGTAAAACACATGTAAATCCTGAGACAGAGTCTGTCTGTCTCAAGATACACAGGACAGAAAAAGGCAACAACGTTCGCTCATTTAAACCTTCTTTTTTGGGAAGTGGAGTGAGGGGTCTAGGGGAACCCTTTGCATTACTACCCAAGTTTTATTTTGTAAATTAAAAATTACTCTGGAATTTAAAAAATAAAAATTAAAAAAGCCTTTTTTTTCAAAGAAAAGCTTATGAAAAAGCCCAGGTTATGAGGTAACAGGGGGCTACTCTAGTTGAAGCCGGCTGAGGGGCGCAGAACCTCTTACAGCAGGAAGCCGGAGATCCACTGTATCACCCCTCTGGAGCTCGCTTCACCTCAGAATATTCCCCAAGCCCTGAACCAACACTGAGGCTTTATAAATAGAAACAGGATCACTTGGAGGCAACAGGGCGGCTTGTCATTTATTCCTTGCTGTATTATATAATTCCAGAGAAAAAGAGAGAGCCAAGAATCATGCTTCTAAAATTGTGGAACTGATTTTCCATTTCTATCTTGGTTTCTCATGCTCCACACGCCTCCTAGCTAACAAAGCTTCAACACTGACAGTACCACCCATTTGTTTTCATTATGCTGGTTCTTTCTAATCAAAAATAAGTGCTTGGCTAATTGCCTTTAAGATTTATGAAAACAACCAGTTAGCTTAATTTTTATGTGCAAATAAGACACTGAAGAGAAACGCTTATTATATTTACTTTTGTAAATATGTTTTGCGTCCCATCACAGGGGGCACGGCAGAATTCTGGAGTAGACACATATGGGTTCGAATCCTGCCAGTTACGAGCTCGTCTTGGACAAGTGCCTTCATTTCTCGGTGTCCTCGCCCTCCGCTCGCAGAACTGGTGAGGGAGTGAAATGAGAACATAGCACGATGTCTGGCACAGGGTGCCAGGTACTCAACAGTGGTAAACAGGTTTTAAAAATTATATAATCAGGTTAAAAGAGTGCGAGGGATTTAAGTAGGAGGTTTTGATTCACTGTTGGAAAACCCTGGTTTCCGGTTTTAAAGCCTTCATGTGGCTTAGCACAGAAAGATTAATTAGGGCTTAGGAATTCATCAGTGCCTCTGTTCTGGATAGCAAATTAATACTCCAGGGAAGAGGTGGACGGGGATTAGGCAGGTAAGGGCCACAGGCAGAGCACAGTGGACAACTCTGCCAACCGCACCTGGGAGCCCTGTGGCCAGAGGATGAGGGTCGCTCTGCAGAAGAGCACAAGCTAGCATCTAGTCTCCCCATAGTGATTACAATGTGCCAGACACTGAGCTTTGCATGGATTAGCACGCTTAATCCTCTCAGCAAATCTGTGTGCTGTACTCTCTCAGTCTCCTCCAGGAAACATGGCCTGCTCTGCCAGCCACGTGCTCAGGTTCGACAGCTCTTGAGAACTCAGCTCCCCGGGCCCGCTGGTCCCCCTCTCCACTATGTGCCCACCCCTTCCTGTGTGTGACTGCGGTGGTCCTTCAGTGCATAGCCCCCATCTCTGTTCCATTTAAGTGAACGCACCGCCCTGAACATTGAGTCCCAGCCCCGAACTGCTTGCTAAATCACTTTCCTTCTAAATCAGTCAGGTATGATGGGCTCTGTTCCGCTGTGCGTTAGTTTTCATTTTGACCGATTAATCTGAAGAGCTGGGGTTTTGAACTTGCTTTGCTGTTCCCACCGTCATCTCCTCCCAAACAGCTGATGCCTCTACACATTTCTCCCGGAATTCTCCATATCTCAGTTGTTCATCAGAGATGCATTTTACGGATGTTCTAAGAGTCCTTCAAATTCTTTCTGCTGTGACTTGGTTCAAAACAGGAAGAGTTTTTGTAGTTTATTATGTATCTACTTGCTCATTCATTTATTCAACAAACAGATTCATTTGTGCTTTGTTTGGTCTTGCGGGAAACATAGTAATGAATGAGACAGGGACTCTGACGTCTAACAGGTCAGAGAAGGTGAGACCTGTACACCTGTACGGGAGAAGAGTCTCGCTGGTTCTGCAGAAGAGTGATGAGATTTTTCACAATTCCGATTTCTGACTGTGGAAATGGAGAGGTAGCATTTTGGGGGAGGGGATCTTGAAGAAGGAGTGGGGTTTGGCTCAGAGAAAAATGATGACCAAGGATGTTTTCGGAGGCAGGGCAGGTCACAGAGAGGTGGTGGAGGCAGAATGTGGCACACGGGTGAGCAACCAGTCACGGGGCTGGGCCACAGCACCCGGGCAGCAGGAGTTGAGATTTCGGCAGAAAAGCTTCCC